GTTGGGTGGCAAAAGACAGTATATTGGCCATCCTGTATCGATTGGCCGTCTTGTATCGATTGGCCGTCCTGTATCCATTAGCCAACCGAAGGCTGGCTAATGGACACTCCTCTGGCCAATGGATACTGTCTTTAATTGCCACCGAAAGATCTGCTTGGAGATTACATTTTGTGGTGCTACCACAAAATACCAGAATGTGAATAAATACAGCTGACTTTGTTTCCAGCTTTTAAACACGCACGATCTGTCCACAGGTCTCACATTTACCTTAGCACGGTCATTATAGGACGGTAGTTCACGGGGTAGTCAAGATTTTCAATCACAGCTGGTTATCCTTCGCCAAGAAGGTTATGTTTTCAGAGGCGTTCGTGTCTGTCTGTCTGTCTGTGAACACGAAAACTTGAGAAGGCTTAAATGGATTGACTTTATATTTGGTAGGAGGGTAGGTATTGATGAGACCTCGAAATGATTAGATTTTGGGCCCCCTAGCGGCTTCTAATGATACTGCAACTTCCGGTTTTGATATCTCGTGATCTGAACATGCTAGGGTCACGAAGTTTGGATGGTAGGTAGATCTTGTGCTGGGGAAGAAGTGACATAGGTTTGGGACCCCTAGCGGCTTGCTCGGGTACTGCAGGGGCATTTCTTTGAAAATATTCAAAAGAGGATAACTCAAGAACCGGTGGACGGATCGTCATGATTTTTGGTATGTAGGTAGCTTAAGTGACGCTTGACATAATTATGCGACAATTATGCAAATCTGGATGTAATTTGCATAATTAATGAGGAAATTCTATAAATCAGCTGCATTATATTATAGGACTATTCGAGCTTGTGACATATGTAATTGAGAACGAGAGAAACACAGGCAGATATTCATTATGTAAATTAACACTTTTACATGATTAATGAGAAAATGTTATAATTCCATAATGGTAACTGCCTGGAATTTCATACTTGGGGTATTTGAAAGTTAAGTGAAGGTGAACATCATTAAACATAACTTGAAATAAGGACCTCATTTGCATAATTTATGAGGAAATGATAGAATGGCTTTCTTTGTTAAAATGCTGTCTTTTGATGGAGAATATGATCAACTGATATAATTCATGCAAATGAGGATCCCATTTGGATAATCAGGAGGAATCATCTTTGTCAGTCATAAAGATTAACATCATTTGGCGAAGGTATGGGATCGTGGGACTCTAGTTCGTTATGAATCTACTCTGATAATTGCTCATGGTCGATGGTCGCTGGAAGGCTGCAATCAGCTATTCAACAACAGCTCCAACCGTGATACACACGTGTTCGTTAAGAGCACCATTGAGACCGATGATTGCCTCTTCACGTAGAATAGAATGAATGGTAATTACAGGTATTAGAGAACAAAGAAAACAGCCACACAGGCGTATCACTGTATGTTGTATATTCAAAACAGAAGACAAGCGGACAGATAAGTGGTTGTGACAAACCAACCACTGTTCAGATCTAACCATTTCCAGACTACTTCTTAGGGAAGCGAGTGTGGGAGCCCCGGTATACAAGTAGGATGGTACCCAGGCTACCATATTCTGCCTGAGCGTATTCAACATAAACTTCGCGTAATTGCAATTCATGCGTGTCTTCTCGGTTAATGACATAACAACCAAAATTGAGAATTTCACAAGAAAACATATGTACAGGACTTAAGTTTATTAAATTCAGAGAACATATACAAAACATCTTGGTAAAAGCACATCAGCTTTGGACAAATATCAGTGTAATGAAAACAGCAAGCGTTTTCTATAAGGCAATGAAGTACACGTATTTTCTTTGGCTCACAAATGTCAAGACACAATTTATAGTTTTCATTATTGCACAGGAAGAGACGTAAATGTACTTTTATTTAACCACGACATTATGGCTCTAGCGATGAGACATATCCCGGCAGTTCCACAGTGCAAACTACTTCGTTTTGTGTGTCTCGGTTGGATATCGTTCTCTCTTGAATTATCGCTTTCACAGTTACAGTTTTGTCCAACCGTTCATCGTTATCGGAGTCTGACGGTATATCAAGTGGAGTCTGTGCGGGTCTCGTGGACAGCCTGGCCGGCCCGCGCGGCGTCGGAACATCCGATTCTTCAGAAAGGTCTCCCAGTGGTGACACTGCCCGCAGATGTCGCGTTGTGTTCCGGCTTACATTGCGGTGTCTCCTGACAAGCGCAGCGCTGTTGGTCCGCTCCCGTCTCCCGAACAGTCTCCACACGGCCACCCGGACGTCGTCGCTCCGAAATCCGTAGACCACGGGGTTGCTGAGGCAGGGCACGGTCAGGTACACGAGTTCGGCAAGGCGGTCCAGCATGTACACAGCGGCTGGTCTTTGTCCAGATGTTGTTACGTACTTAAACATTCCATTTATGAAGACCGCCGTCGCGAATATTACAAAGATGAAGAGATGTATGGATATTGTTCGCTCCGGCCTGTGATTGTTCCCACCGCCTTGTGGGTTTCCCGAAGGTTCACCCCCGTCTTCTCTAGCGTTTTGTCTGTGGATTTCTTTGTAAATCTTAAAGTACGAGATAAGAATATACGTAGATGATACGACAGAGAACGCTAAGGTAGTAAGATGAATGATTTTAACAACGCGATTGAAGCCTAAGTCTGCGAACGTGCAGAAAAGGTTACTGTTTTGAATATGGGCAATATCTATCCCGTCGATGGGGGTAAAAATGACACAAAGTACGCTGACGGTTGTGCCGTAAATCCACGCAGCCAGGATCCTAACCCAGGTCCAGCGAATGCCGTCCTCTTCTCGGTAGTGGAGAGGTTTACAAATGGCTCGGTAGCGATCCCACGCCATAACAAATAGAGTAGCTATTGTGCATACAGCCGTGCCATAGTACACACCACACTGTGTTAGACAGAGAAAAGCAGAATCGGTAACGTTCTCACTTACTACGTTGTTTATAGAGTTGGGGATGAAGACCAGAGCCAGGAGGATATCCAGAACGGCGAGGCTGACGGGTAGGAGAAAGCGAGGCTTCCACAAGCTCGGGGAGCGCGCGACGGCGATGGTGAAGATCACGTTAAGACCGAGGATCAGTACCAAGGACGGGACCAGCCAGGAAACCTGCAGGATCTTAGCCGTCAGACTGGAGGAAAGGAAGTTGTGATCGTTCACGCTGTGATTATAGCCTGGAGACCAGGTCCAGTTGTCCATACCGTGCGATGTTGTACGGACAAACGCGGTACTTTGTCGTCCTACTGAGACGTTAGTGAGGATAGCCATGTCGGTCTGGGGGAATCAGTCCTCTCGTTCTGTCAGAGACTGTACAAAACGTAGGTACAGAAGGACTGTGTTACCTCTGGAACACCTTTGCTCGTTGTGATTGTCCTTTTCTATGTGCGCATCGCGACAGAAGAAGAAGGAATGTTTTGATTGAAAGGGCCGGATCACGACTTATGTTAAATGTGGCTGAATTGTGAATTGCTCTTAATTGGTAACAGTGCGTGGACTCCGTCACTAAAAAACACCATTTAACTGCTTCGATCTTTCTCCCGGACGAGAATGGGCTCAAATTACAACATATAACTTCAGTTAAACGACCTTCGCTCAATGATGGTCACTTTTATGACAGACAAATTTAAAAAAAGGTTTCTCATTGATAATAAGCAAATAAGATCCTTATTTGATTAATCAATATCAGTTGATCATATTGGCCATTTTATTGAAATATTTCTACTCTTGTAAACATCACGTTTTATTTCAGTTTTCATGGTGGATTTACTTACTTTGCCTTTTGGGGAGATGTGACCCATCTTGGGGTCGTGTGGCGCAGTTGGTAGCGCATTCGGCTCACACCCCAGAGGTCGCGGGTTCGAATCCCGTGTCACCGATCTTGTGCCCTTGGGAAAGGCACTTAACACGACTTTCCTCACTTCACTCACGTGGAAATGAGTACCTAGCTTCGGCTAGGGACGTCCCTCGGATAGGACGTTAAATGGAGGTCCGGTGTTTGGGGAGATCTAGAGCCACACCCCACGCACGTTAAAGAACCCACCGCACTTATCGAAAAAGTAGGGGTCCTTCCCGGTGTGAGTGGTTCAAACCTTACAGTCCGGTCTTACTCAGTTTGCACATGTACGTACATGTACAAAACTGGTGTGTTACGCCTAAAGGCGGTTTACCAGTTATGCGAAACAAACAAAGTCTTGGTAAGAAACAAAAATATCAAGGCTTCCATGTCTGCCTCCATAACGTCTGCTTGTTACAGGTTTGTAAGGTCTTTTAGTTATCTTTAAGAGCATTCCGGGCGCGAATTAGTTTTGTAATAAGTGTATTAGTGCACATAACCTTTGAATCTAGTGGCTCAACATAAAAAACAGCAATGTCAGCTAAACAAAATCACAAACCACACAGCCTGTCTTCAGAGCTAGATTAAGAAATTCTGTAGTTAACCTTAAAATTTTTCATATAATTCAACTGAGTAGTTTCCTCTGACAGTTCTAACACAATTTATTATATAGCCAGGTGACGTTGACCAATCAGAAGGCTCCATTCCACATCACATTCCTTATGACGCTGTAATGTCACAAATAGAGTCAAAATCGGGTATTTATTCATTCCAATCAAAACCAATAATCACCCGCATATGACCTCAGGTGACCCAATAGAACACGGCTCTAGTTCTAAAAAATCCAAAAATAAGTTGTGTTCCAATGACCTCGGGTGACTCCCATAAGAACACCTGCTCCCTGCCTGTGACCCAGTTAATGTGAACTCTACCCAGTGACCTCAGGTGACTCCAGATGGAACTACGTTGTATTCAGCATATGCAACGGGTAAATTGTACATTGTGTCACTTACTGCATCAGTTATGGATAGGCTCTTGTGTAAGCTATATGATAATAGCGTTAATGTCCCGCCCTTTCTCGGTGAATATGGTGTGATAAATTAAAGCCTTGTCAGTTGCTATAACCACCTCATAAAGCCACCTCGTTCGCTGTCGCTCACTCGATGGCTTTATTCGGTGGTTATAGCAACTGACAAGGCTTTATCACACCATATTCACCTCGGGGCTGGTCATTAACCCTTAATTAATGACAAATAAACAAATAAATACATACCTTTTCATACAGTACCTAAAGTCCTAAACCCTACACAAAAGTACATATGCACCGGGCATTTCAACCTTGTAAGCACTAATAATAACAAGCCATGCAAGTACACTTAGCTAACCAAATATTTTGTTACAGAAAAAGATCCAAGTCCACGAAAGCGTCAAACTCTGAAGGAGAAACGAATTCAGATGCCCTACTCAACAAGATTTGGCCTCCGAACACGCCCCGAACACTGCTGACTTACTCCCAATGATTGGCTGGAATTTTGCTGACTTACAGCCGAATACCAGCCAACCATGGTAGAACCTCCCGACCAACCGCCGTAAATGTTTGAAACATTGTGAAACATTCGGCTGGCGCAGCCGAATAGCAGCCGTAATCGCCAGACGACCCAGCAGCCGACTTTGCCCCGACCGACTCCTAACCATATGGTTGGGGGCGTTCGGCTATAGCTAGCATTCGGGAGGCCAAAGTCATGAATGTGTGACAATGGATTGTCCCAACATTTTCCCTTAGTACAAAAATGTAGAAACTAGCAACACACATACGAGTACTACACGTACGTTAGCAAACAATGGAAACTATTCCAGCTCTCGGGCGGTGAAACATAGATCAGAAATTCTCGTAGTAGGAGACATAGTGCGCCATGTCTTTCGCAGGTTAAAAAGATTGGCGTTTTCAGCTGAGGTCCTCCCGGCATGACCAGGAATGTCGAAGATGCATGCGCACAACTAAACAAGCTAAAAAGGCTATTAGTTATCATGAACAGGCACTAAAGATGAAGCAGAGTACCCATGTTGCAGAGTACCCACATCGTGACATCGCCTCGTCACTTAACAACTTTAGTAACGCCTGGGGTAATTAACCTTGGTGATCACAGAAAGGCTGTTAGATATCATGAACAGACACTACAGATGTGGCGGAGTATCTATGGTGAGGGCATCGCACAACCTGACATCGCCACGTCATTTAACAACTTGGGTTACTGCTGGAGTGACCTTGGTGATTACAGAAAGGCTGTTAGATATCATGAACAGGCACTACAGATGTGGCGGAGTGTCTATGTTGAGATCATCGCCCATCCTCACATTGCCGGGTCACTTAACAACTTGGGTAACGCCTGGTATAACCTTGGTAATCATAGAAAGGCTGTTAGATATCATGAACAGGCACTACAGATGATTCGGAGTGTGTATGGTGAGGGCATCGCACATCATAGCATCGCCTCGTCACTCAAGAAATTTGGGTGCCGCATGGAGTACTCTTGGTGATTACAGAAAGTCCCTCAGCTATCATGAACAGGCACTTCTCATGAGGCGGAGCATCTATGGTGAGGGCATTGCGCATCCGGATATCGTCTCGTCATTCGGAAGCTTGTGCGTCGTCTGCAGTTTGCTTGGTGATCACAGAAAGGCCACCTACTGCTATGTTCAGTTCACAAGGATGAAGCAGATAATTTATAATTGAAGAAACTTATAGACCCTGACATTGTGCCGCTCTCATGGATAACGTATCTCCTCAAAATTGTTCAATAATCATATAGAAAGCAGTTAAAATTGTTCAATAATCATATAGAAAGCAGTTAAAATTGTTCAATAATTATATAGAAAGCAGTTAAATGAAACACTCTATCGAAAAGTGATTCTTCATTCTTTCAAATTGCCAATTCAAGGAGACAACAGACTTGCTTTTTACTTTGACAAACACTAATATTAGTTATGATATAAAAACTGTTCAGAATAGTATTGTATCAGTTATGAGAGAAGGAATACTACTGAGTCTTGTACGCAAGTCAGAAGACATGTATTGTGCCGCCTTCATAAAGCCATTGTTTGTGACATGCAGTATCACATGGGAATTGCTTTACATGAAAGTCAACTGTACCTCTCATTTGAAAATGTCTGATAAAATCGTTCATACAAATATATATTTCTGCATCTGTTTATAAAATCTATCTGAATTCAGTCAGTGTCAGGTTTCTACTTACAAATAGGATCGGACCGTAACATTTATACATGTACATGAATATACAATACGCTATATTTTTCCTGCATTATGACACAAGGAGAGAGAGCTAGAATTGCTTGTTCTCTTCTAATACTGTAAACTCGTGTACTTTGTCTTTTTTATTATTTCACAGCTTGAGAGAAAAGAATTTTGCAGTGTTTGAACTTTTGGGTTGAAACAAGTCTGAAGCAAAATACAAATGCCAACCTCATATTTGCGGGGGTAGTTAGAGGCCAGTCCGAAAACGGTGAAAATAATGCCATCGCGAACATTTACAGCAAATTGTTGAACAGCCTTTGCCTTTGCAGAATTTCTTTACAAGATAATACTTCATACATTCCTTCTGGAAAAAAACATTGTAATATACATTTAGAATCATTTGACAGCTTATATGTCTTCACTTTCAATGGACACTTCATTACAAAGAGGTTGAAGGAGAAGAAATGTCCTGTTCACAGCTGCTGGTAGACTGTTATGTCCTTGTTACTGCTGATGTACGTGGTGGTGTAACAACAGGAACCCTGGAGAGGCTGCACGGTTGTCCAGTAGGTCTTCCCTGTGGGGAGCGGCGTCTTCACAACCTGACCACGCTGAACCTTGATGGGTTCTGTCTTGCCATTGCCAGGTGTGACCGCTGATGATGCACCCAGGGACAAGATACTTTGTGCCTCTTCAAGTATGGACTGAAGGAGTCCACCGCACTTCACCCCCTCTGGTGCCTGGCTCTCCTCCTTCACAGAAGCTTGTGAATTTGCCATCTTTGGGTCAGGGAGGTGTAACTGGCTTCCATCGCATGAGGATTCCAGGCTGGCAGCAGAACTCAGCAGCTCTGATAGACGCAAGATGTCCTGAGACTCCTGGTCTAGCGCAGAGACTGAATCTGCCCGCAGGGGGGAGCGGGAGTTGATGAGCAACTCTTCCAAGAGGGGAGTAATGTCTGAATGGTCCTCAAGACAATCTTCATGTGGCTTGGATACTGGCAGAGTAATACCCTGTTGTTCAAAATCAGCTATTTGGTCCTCTTTGCTTGGAGATGGACAGCTGGCTAGGAGGTATTCTGGCAGGAAAGAGTCGTCATGCTGTTCAATTTCAGCTGTTTCCTCCTCTTTGCTCGGAGATGGACAGCTGGCCAGGAGGTATTCTGGCAGGACTAAGTCACTC